GGCCGTCCCTCCTCACCACGTTCTTCGAAGACTCCCCCTCCTCTATCTATGGAGTCTCTCTCTCTCTCTCTCTCTCTCTCTCTCTCTCTCTATTAACTCTCTCTACATCCACGGTTCTCCCACAGAAGCCCCCTTCCTCTCTCTCTCACTCCCTCTCTATAGACCACCAGCGGATGCCCCGTGCCCCCCAAAAAAACCTTCCCCTTTCACTGCTTCTCATATTCCCCAACCGCTGTATTCCCTTTCTAAACTCTTCAACAGCTTTCTCTCTTTCTCTCTCCAAGATCTTGGTATTAGTGTCGAGTAGCTCAGGCTTTTATTTGCGAAAAAAGAAGGAAGATGCAAGAAATGAAGAGGAAGATAGGAATATGTAAGAGGAGAGAAAGAGAGAGAGATTTTATGGGTCACCACTCTTCTCACCAAAATTTCAGGACCCCTCTCCCTCTCTCTAACTCTTTCTTCTCTAGATTTTGGCTAGGAAATATGATATTAAGAAAATTTCTGATTTTTTTAGATTTGTTTTAACATTTTGCAATATTTTTTGAGGGAGTTTTTGGGTGGGGAGTGGGGACAAGTTGGGGACCGAACTCACCTCGCCATAGGGTGAGGCCGAGTTACTCGTCTGAGTCCCAATACACTATTATTATAACAACTTAACAACTGAAACATTTATTACTACCAAGTTTAGAGCGACAACCATCCAGTTTTTTTATACTAATGCACTAACTATTTAATTAGAGAAAGATGGAACTTGAAAATCTTTTAGACATCAACACTCATGACTAACTAATAGAATGGTAAACTCCATTCAGGCAGCAGAAACAATCTGTAGTCAACAGGAATGCATCAGATATCATATAGCAAACCATACCCAATGTAATCAGCAGATGAACGGTCAAGACCGCTGCATCCTGCCCAAGATGATCCACGAAAGAAATTTCCTCCACCAACCACAATAGCAACCTGAAAGAGCTTGCAATTGTAACACCATTTAACCAAACTCAAGGAATTGCATGTCAAAAAAAAGAGTAAGATTTTTCCTGAAGGGGAAACGTACTATAATACAAAGGACCATAGAAAATCGTACTACAATGGGTCATCACACGTTCATTGACAACAGAGAGAAAAAGAGAGGTACTCACTGCTAGGGTTCTAGTTGGTACCACACTCTCCACCAAACTCCATCGTCTAAATTGCAGATTGATGACCCCAGAGACTATGGTTTTCCATAGTCCTTAAGACAATGATATACTTTCCGTCCCTAGAATATATGAAATCAGGGAAGAAGAACAAACAATATACCTCAATTCCAAGCCGAGTAACAGAAGCAACCTCCCTTGCAATGGACATCGTAATCTGTAATTAACGGCAAAGCAGAGTATAGTTTCAAGTAGCTTTATCCTCGCAAGATACCCAAAGAAGAAAAATAGTATAAAATCTGAATTCCTATGAGAATATCCCACACAAATCGAATAGATATCAAATGCATGCGAAGAGAATAGAAGTTAATTTATCAACAGTTCCATAGATATTAACCTATGTTACCCAGACACTCCAAAATTGTCCAAGATTTGTGGAGTTGAATGATAAGATACTCCAAGCCATAGTGGCACTTGTATGATTAGTGTCATGCATGTATGCCATTATAGAAAAGTTAAGACACTCTGGAATGTCCGATAAAGCCATCTACCGCCAAAGTTTGTAACTCTTACATAATGATATATTCAACTCAAAAAATTAAAATAAATTTGACAAAAAAATACATTTTCAAATACATAGAAGTGAACAAAAAGAACGTCAAGTTATAGTACACTATTTGATAAAACTTGTTTCATTTTCTTTGAAGATAAGTATCTGTCTCTCTCTATGTGGGTTAGGCAGGCATCTCACTACATAAACAAGTACAAACCGCTTCACTCTGGGGCTTTTTCTCTGCTGTTGCAACGACTGTCTTCCTTTCTCACTCCACCAATCAAAGAAACAATCCCTAAGTCAATCCTTTTAAATTTTTTCTTCTTGAGAATTAGAAACCTCTCTCTCTCTCTGTGCTTAAATGGGGCCATCTCTCTCTCTAAACCAATAGCAAATGAGTCATCTATTTCAAATCAACAGTAAAGGAGCAGATGGGCGGTTTCACTCTCTAAAACCTAGCCAAAAAAAAGGGGAAAATGTGCCACCTCTCCATATATTTCTCTCTCTAAAACGAACAAAAAATTAGGTAGTGGGCTTCCTGATCTTGCAGGTAAGAGATTGTAGGAAGGGGGAGAGTGATTTGGGATGTTTGGCAGTTTACATAGGTAGCAATGAGTTCGATTATGATGGAGGAATACAAATCCAACAAAAAAAAAATGTTGGTAAAACTACCTTTCTTGTCTAAACCTTCAATAGTGAAGGTTAATTACATTTTTCTTTTCCCTGGTTGAAGGATAAGGGGGACCACCACATAAGGTGAATATTAATAAATAACCTCATACATTTATTATTTAAGTCATGTCTTGTGCCTTGACATGCATCGGATTCCAACAGCCGTGCCCATGGCTAAGGTAACATAGATAATAACATGACTAAATAAGAATCACAAAGCTGTGTCTAACTCCATTATGAAGGCAACATAATAGAGTAAACTATGGCTACATATTATTAGAAGTGTTTCATTCCCACCTTTGGGTCAATATTTTGTTCATGGTTTCCACAAAGCGCCTCCCCACTCACTTTCAGCAATACCCTTTGCCATTTGAATGATCGTTTTGGAATGGCAATTTCTCGAGACACCAAATCGAAGGCTGTGGTAGTCGATGTTTGGGGCCTGTATAATGAAGAGAAGTAAATATAGAGAGGTTTCAAACTTTGAAAATATCATAGTGTTGACAGATGAATCCTGTGGAGTGATTAATCAACATTTTCAAGTAGGTAGTGATGCTGCATAACTATTTGCATAGCGATGATGTAGACCAATTAGAAAAAAATGGCAAAGATAAAGCAATTATCCTGTTTATTACAAACTAGGAGTTTTTTTTTTTAATTAGTTTATTACAAACTAGGAGTTGCCATTGAAAAATCAAGATAAGGTTTTTCTCCTTCAGTCCATCAAGGTGTATGCCTTTTTTTGTAATTATAAAGGAATGTCTTTTTGAATTCTTTGAAACCACTGAAGCCTAGTGGAGGGGCAATCGTTAGTGATGTGTCCCATAAGAACACCAAATCAAGTTTCCATTCCTTTTTTCTTTTTTTCTTTGTTTTTTTTTATTGTTCACCTCAACGGAAGTGAATGAAATGCCAACACCACTGTTTCTAGACCTAGATCAACCAGGACATAAGCAGAAACATGTCCACCCAATTAGAAAACAACCCTACAAAGAATAGCCTCAAAGGACCAAAACCCAACCAAAGGGACTATAATAGTATGTTATCTGCTTTTATCGACTATAATAGCAAGAAAAGAAATAGCAATAAGCCTATTCACACTTTCACAACTTCCTGAGAAACAAAAAGTGCAAAGAATTGAAACAGACACTAAACTTCCCATAGGAACATAGCTTAAATGCATTGCGTGAGCTGAAAGAGCCCCAATTTATTTTTATTTTTTATTTTTTAAACTTGATGACCTCGTTTTACCATGCCTTCCATGTTTGAAAACCATGATAACTCGAAACAATTTATTAAAAAAAGTATATTTTCTATGGATATTTTATTTGAGTAACATACTTTCGCGGACTCCTTATATGACTGTGAATAGTCCTACTTTCATATGAGAAATCATTAACATTGCACATCGATGTGAATAAATGAATTAACAGCATGTTGGCTGATGAGGAGGTAACCATTTGACATTAAGAACAAAAGTCTACTTGTTTAAGAAATATAGGAGTTGCAATCAAAAGAAGAACTACTTGAGTTGCTGCCAAAAGCCTCAAAAAAAGAAAGCATTCCTTGAATTGGGCAGTGGTGAATGTTCAAAGAACCAGTTGCATGCCCACTAGCAAGCACATAATTGTTTAGAGGCCATCAGCACAGAAAATCTGAAACATAGCAATCCCTTCACGAGACCAACCATAGCAATTTCCACAGATGCATACAATTTATTGTGAATAGTGTGAATTGTGACATTATTCATATGATAAATCATTAGTTAAGTGCACATATGAATTAATGAATCAAATGCATGATGGCAGATGAGCAGATAACAATTTGAAATTAAGGACAAAAGTCTTTCTGTGCAAGAATTATTTGAAACTATCCAAAGGAAATGAATGTTCAATAACCAGTTGCATGTCCACTAGAATCAAGAGAACTGTTCAGAGGCAGCAAACATTAAAAAGATTTTTAAAAAACAAAAAAGGTGTCAAACATAACAATCCCTTCACAAGACCAACTATGGGAACTTAACAGATCCTTACCAGCATTTTGGAAATCAATTCGGGCCAAGTAATCACCACTGGCCTGAGCCAAGTTTCAAGCCCTATATCATCTATGCTTGAAAAAATCAGAAAAAAAAAAAATAGAAACATTACTGAAAAATAAAAAATATTGAGATTAATATAAACGATGACTTTTTCTCTCGAAAAAAAAGATATTTATTGTCACCAAAAAATCGCAGGGTATACTGTTTTTCTCAAGAAACTACAAAATTTCAAGCCAAGAATATCATTATACAGCCATTAATCAAACAAATCGTCATAGGTTATTAAAGAGGGTTGAATCATGATCAGATGGAACCAATTTTCAACAGATTTGGGGAAAACGAAAGGAGGGAGAAATAGATAGAATGGCAGATTGATTAGGGTCTGTTCTGAAAATTTGTTTTCTCATAAGAATTGAGATTTTTCGGGCCAGATATCTTGATCTCTACCATTCTATCCTACAAATAAGTATAGGGATCTTGTAGGACAAATCTCAACAGATTTCAATCGATTTGAATGGAATATGAAGAGCAGTCCCTGTTTAGGTAGATTGGTTCAAAATACAGGTCTCTTTTTCACCAAAAATCGATGAATAAATTCCCATAAGCTTTGATCCAAATTCATCAAATCTAGATTGATTTGCATCCAGAAAATGAATAATATAGGCCAATAAGTGAAAATTTGATCAATATTTATCAAAAAACATTTATTAAAATCACCAACAATGCACCTTACTGTGTACACCACATTCAGGCTTAACTCGCCTCGCTCATAGCACCAGGCCCATGCCCATTTCTATTCTTAAAATACTAGTAGTTCAAACATATTGCTGCTCCTTTGGAAAGACAAGATAAACCCCATAACATTTTCACCACATCAAGAATACACATAACTATCAATACACTCTCCTTCAAGATCACTAACAAACCAAGTTTCCCTGAGAGTTTAATAAGTCTATCAAATCACTCCCCATATCATTTGAACAAAAATTCTTCAGCATTTCTCATTTGATAATAATGGGCCATTCTCCACAAGCATATGAAAAGAAAAGAAGAAACGACACCCAAATCCAAAATTTCATATATCTCGCTTACATTAATATGGTGGATATATGCGCATATATTACTGTGCTCAACCAATACCAAAAGGAAAATGGAAAGAAAAAATGTACAAAAATGAAGCAAGTAAAAGAGAGAGGAAAAAAATAAAAACAAAATGCCACAGCTTCCATGTGGGTCTCTAGGAATACCAAAAACTCTCTCTCTCTCTCTTCCTCTCTCTCTCTCTCCTACTACTACTAACTACTAACTAACTAACTAACTAACTAACTAACTAACTAACTAACTAACTAACTAACTAACTA